ATAAATAAGAATAAATTTTTAAGCGTTTAATTGAAAATAACAATTCACGTAATTCATAAAATTGCTGCGATTCTGCTGGATAAAAACAAACAATGCGCATGCTTGGTAACATTTGTTCTGACACCAGAACCAATTGTTGTTGGTCGAGTTTATCAGGAAGAATGAAAGATAAAAATTACAAATGATGTATTCTGAAACAACCACTCTTATACGTTAATATTTTAATATTATTATGCTCAGTGACACTAGTAGAATAACCACCTTTATACACTAATATTTTAATATTATTATGCTCAGTGACACTAGTAGAATAACCACCTTTATACACTAATATTTTAATATTATTATGCTCAGTGACACTAGTAGAATAACCACTTTTATACACTAATATTTTAATATTATTATGCTCAGTGACACTAGTAGAATAACCACTTTTATACGTTAATATTTTAATATTATTATGTTCAGTGACACTAGTAGAATAAACACTTTCATACACTAATATATTAGTATTATTATGCACGAACACTTTTTTACCTTGATGGGATCGCTAACGTTCAGCACCTCTCCTGTGGAAGCGACTCGTTTAGCGAAACGAAGAAGTTCTACGGACGTTTCTGATTGTGGTGCTGGAGTAAAGCTGAAATTTAAATATTTTACATGCATGTTATAAAAACAGGTTTTATGTTGATGCTAAATTATTACTAAAGAATAACGCTGTTGATGAAAGCTTGACACTGTAGCGGGTTATATACAGAAAATAACTGAAATCTATATTCGTGAGTTTAGAATTATATAGTTTCTCTTCCATCATTCTACTATGTGTCTTTACCAGATCTAAAAAATTCCAGAAACTTCTAAATACTGGAGATCATTTTCTTACAAGTTATATATGATACAAATTCAAGATTTTCTCATAAGCTACAAAAGCCACGGTTATGATTATTTGTTTGCTAAAATTGTGGAATCTGAAATTGAATTTGTTATGAAATGTGAAGCAGAAAAACTGAATTTAGTTTCTTAGTTTAAACATCTAACGAGAGCCCACGGAATCTAGTAGTATCACATAATTTAACTGTACTATACATCATCTTGAGGTATTTAAAAAGGCCGAGGGGTAGCTTAGCAGCATCTAGAATAGTTATAAACAAATTACAAAAACGGGAAAATGTTCAAAAATTATTTTAAACTTTCCAGAAAATTTCTTTGACCTTGAACAAAGCTTCAGTTATGAAACTGTTTAGCAAATTCGAGTGATTCACTCAGGTAAAGAATTAAAATGATGAAAGACACATATCGTTAACTTACCTAGTGTCAGGGGACATCGGAGCAAGAGGAGGAGAAGTTAACTCAAATGTCTTGGAAAATTTCACATTCTGGAAGATACTTCAGTTATTTTATATTACTAACATAAACATATTAAATGATAATAAAGTATATTGTCTCAAAAGAGAATATCAGATAATATCAAAGTTATTCTGCTTTAAAAACTGGTCGTCAGGAGTTATCAATGAAACATCTTTTTCTGGTTTAAAATTGATCATTAAGAGCTGTCAATGAAACATATGATCAATTTTAAACAAGAAAAAATTGACAGCTCTTGATATGTTTCATTGACAGCTCTTGATGATCAATTTTAAACAAGAAAAATATGTTTCATTGACAGCTCTTGATGATCAATTTTAAACAAGAAAAAGATGTTTCATTGACAACTCTTGATGATCAATTTTAAACCAGAAAAAGATGTTTCATTGACAACTCTTGATGATCAATTTTAAACCAGAAAAAGATGTTTCATTGACAACTCTTGATGATCAATTTTAAACCAGAAAAAGATGTTTCTGATCAATTTTAAACAAGAAAAATTAAGAGCTGTCAATGAAACATCTTTTTCTTGTTTAAAATTGATCATCAAGAGTTATCAATGAAACATCTTTTTCTGGTTTAAAATTGATCATCAAGAGTTTCAATGAAATATCTTTTTCTGTTTAAAATTAGTCATCAAGAACTGTTATTGTGGTTTAAAATAGGTAATAATGAACCAGGGTCTTCTTGTTTAATACTGGTCGTCAAGAGGTATCAATGAACCAGGTTCTCCTGGTTTAATATTGGTCGCCAAGAGGTGTTAATGAAATATCTTATTCTGGTTAAAGATTGATATCAGGAGGTATCAATGAAACATGTTATTATGGTATAAAATTGGTTGTGAAAGAGTATCTGTGAAACATGTTCTTCTGGTTATCTTGTTGTTGTTTGTTTTAGACATTAGGCTATCTGCCATGACCACCGCGAAGAATCAAACACCGGATTTTAGCGTTGTATCTCCATAAACTTAACGCTAACACATCAGGGGACCTTCTGGTTATCAAAGTAACAGGGTTTACAACTTTCAAACGCCAGTAACTAGATATGAAACATTTTTTTCTGCTTTCTAGCATTTTGTAAACAGAGGGTTAGGTACAGTATATTAAAGGGATTTTGAATATGTAAATCAACAAGTAACATGACAACCACAGTAAATATAATGTTGTGGTGGAACAAAAATGTATTAGAACGACATTTTGACATTGTGTGACGTTAGTAAAATAAGTATTGTGATTCCATCGAAAACTGATCGTTTTGGGGAGCAGTATGTAAAATCCTTTTTCGAAAAAAAGTATTAATACACTTAGATCACATAGATGTATTCAGATCGAGGATTTAGAGCTTCCAAGACGGGAATATACTTTGTGCATAATGGCACTGGAAAACTAAGGAATATGGATCAACTTAAGACACCAGGTTCATACAGAAAGAGACTTGCATCAAGTCGTACCTCAGCCGTGATAAACAAAGTGCGGTGTCTTGTAAAAGATGGAAGCCCACAACAAAACGTCAGTGACAAAATCCGCTCACGTGTTCTACTTAATACCCACGAAATACCATTGAAAGGGTATTGCGTGAAGCGGGTATTCGTGCTATTAACAAAAGTCGTTATTTTACATGGTAGTATTCGGTGTATTCTGAAACAAAAGTCGTTATTTTACGTGGTAGTATTCGGTGTATTCTGAAACAAAAGTCGTTATTTTACATGGTAGTATTCGGT